CTTCCTGGAGAGCTGATTCCATCAATGTATCACACTTGGGGTCTAGCAGAAATGATTACAGAGATATAGGGTATTCAAAATCTAGATTTTTCAATTTTTGGATTTTTTTTGTTTCGAAACTATTCATTATTGACCAAAACGGCTTACATGTCTCTATCTTAACTTTTGATTCACTATCTACTGGAATTTAATTGAAAAAAATACAGGGTGCTTCAAGATTCAGAATTCTGATCACCCTGTATCTGTTCCAATTAAATGTCAGTAGATAGTGAATCGAAAGTTAAGATAGGGACATGTAAACCATTTCGATCGTTAATGAATAGTTTCGACACAAAAAAATCCCAAAATTGAAAAATCTAGATTTTTGAACAACCTATATCTGTGTAATCATTCCTGCTAGACCCCAAGTGTGATGTATTGCTGAAATTAGCTCTTTAGAAAGAATCTAAAAATGCAATAAAATACAGGGTGATCCATATAAAATACCGAAGTTGCTAGTTGTTTCTGATAGAAGTGGCAACACTGTATCATTGAAAACATTTTAGACGAATAGAGAATGTTCAATTATCAAAGCATCCCAATTTTCAGAATGTTCTGTCTTTTCGTTCTCCAGATACTTCTAATAGGCCATCCACCGTGACCCACCCTGTATATAAATTTTTGAATTTGTGCACACGCACATTAAGCATATTCCTGGACATCAAAAACAATACCCGGTATTTCCGAATTTCCAAAATCCACTTAATATTTTAGAGGAGCACGAAGTGCTTAATCAAATGTACTTTTTATTCTCCCGCATGCTTTTCCACTAATGTATTTCCGATTTCGAATTTGAAGTTTTATGCATTTGGATAGGAAAAAACTGAATATTTATTTATTTATTCATTCTAGTCGAATAACAAAAATTACCGCAATTTGCTTCGATATCCTATAGATCACTCGTCGTCGTATTTGAATGCTTATATTATTATGTATATTAGTGGAAATAAATGGAACAAAACGATCGGCATATTGGCATACTACTGTTGAAACAATTTCATTTCCTTGATTATCAGAACAATCGAAAAACAAAAAACTACCTTCTCAAGTTGTAACATAAAAATTATTACAATTGCTTAAAGTTCCCTTCATTTTGATTCTGATTTTAGGGAGACATCCTGATTGTTTTCCATTTCTCTGCATGCTCCTTCAATTCTCTGGATTAGCTCCAGATAGAAATCTCGAAAGAATACACTCTCATATATGGCAACAATCTATTGAGAAATATGGTGAAACCTTAGCCGTGGCACTTGATATCTCCAAGGCATTCGATCGAGTCTGACACCACGGACTCCTCGCCAAGCTTCCATCTTATAGCTTGCCTCCCCAGCTATGTTCTCTGCTAGCTAGTTTTATCTCAAACAGGTCTCTCCATGTAGCGGTCGACGAAGTTTCATCTGACTCTTATCATAAATGTTGGTGTTTCGCAAGGATCAATTATAGCACCAACACTATTTCCACTTCATATCAACGATATGTTGGGAGCAACTTCATGTCCAGTATACAGCTTCGCGGATGATAGTACCCTCCATACCGCCTTCTCTTCCAGGGCTCCAATAGCAGCCAGTCAAATCAGAAACGAACGAGGGAGAAATGTTGACAACATAAATATGGACTTGGCAACAATTCTAGAATGGGGATCTAATAACTTGGTAGATTTCAATGCAAACAAAACACTAGCATGCCTTTTCTCTAGGAAAGCCGATCTCACTGTGTCCAACATAAGCCTGTCAGGAGAAATCATACCTTTGAAGACATCCATTTCGATGCTTGGTATTACTATCAGCAATAACATTTCTTCGGAAAATCACGTGAGATCAATTGAAAGTGGATCCCAAAAACTTGGTTTTCTGTTTCGAACCAGGAGCTATTTCACTTTCAGTCAGCTGCTGATGATCTATAAGGCACAGATCCGACCTGTCCTGGAATACTGTCCCCATATTTGGAGTGCCGCACCCAAACATACCCTGAAACTGTTGGATTATCTCTAAAAGAGGGCAATTCGTCTCGTGGGTGATGCCTCGCTCACAAACTCACTCACTCCTCTGGAACACCGTAGATAAGTTGGCGATCTGGCCCTATTTTATAAATATTCTCATGGAAGATGCTCTCCTGAAATATCAACAATTATTCCCCCATTGGCAGTCCCCGCGAGATTAAACCGTCGAGTTGAGGCTTCGCACCCCTTCGTGGTCACTTTGGAGACCTGCAGAATATCTTTTTCCAAAGACTCGTTTATCCAACGAACAGCGAGGCTCTGGAACACATCGCCAAGGGAGGTGTTCCTCGAGGCATACAACCTCCAGGAATTTGAGAAGAACACCAATTCCTACCTTATTTCCCTTGGTTCTCACGATATTCTCTGAACATTACAGGATATCCCTTTTCCTGGGAACCAGTACATTAAAAAAAAACCCGAGACTTAGATCCGACAGGTGGGAATCCATATGGGATTCAAATCGAGTGATCTTGTAGGCCAGTTATAAGTGCCGTATCGTCTAGTCCAACTCTACCACCATTGAATTATATTCGCAAATTTAGTGCTTCCATAATTATTCTAGGAAAGTATCAGCAATTTTCGCCGTACTGATAGTCGCCATAGCTGTTACCCATGCTGTCATAACGGAAGAAGAATGCAAGTGTTTCGAAGAATTCGTTGCTGAACAAGAAGATGGTACTTGGTTGTGTCGCGGCCAGCGGCATTTCAGGATTTTCGCTTGCGGTGAAGAGAAGCCCCCACTGTGCAGATGCTACAGCAAAGGGAGAGAGATAATCCTTGACATCGGGGAAACGAATTGTGTTGGTACACATAAGCGATATGATTATTTGTACTGCTCACCATCGAAAACTGAGTGGGACGATTATTACAATCGACATCCCCACAGAAGAATAATTTATTAGGTTAGGGTGTCTTGAGTGTTTTTAAGTTATTTTTTGTATATTAAATGAAATAAATCGAGATGAATGATTTCTTTGAGGGATGAATGAGGATGACAAGAATGTGGACAATATGAATGTTTTCTTTGTCCATGAGAAAATAAAACGTCAACTAATACAATTAGGAAAAAACAGAACTTTCAGGTTCCGAAACGAAGTGCTCTGATGTATCATTAACGTCTTCATCCATTCAATAATCCAAAAGCGATGGTCATCATCGTGAAAACGTAGAGAGATATTTTGTTTTTTTTTTCATTTTAAAGATATTTGAAACATATTATAATAAAACGTCATTATCGATGAGGTTCATTCTAGCGCATATACAGGGTGGTATAGAAATAAACTTGAATATTCCATAGCCTAAGAAAGTTCGACGTATATAATATCGAATGACATCAATAAGAAAATATTGGGATCAAAATAGAATTTGGGATAATACCTCCATTTCCACCCAAAGTTCTATACACTTCCGCAACTCTTATGTCACCTCTTAATGAAATTTCGTGCGGAAAACATGTTTTTTCCAAGTTTTATTTAATTTTTTATGAAATTTCTCGTTGATCAGAATAATTAGGGAAAATCTGATGTCATGGGAATATTCCTTAGACTGTATTGTATTGAGCTGCTGAATATATATGTACTCATTTTAAAAACATCTTGTATCTTGTATAGTTGAAAAATTGTGGTGACATTGATCAAATATTCGTTATTTATACTCTCATTTCATGCTGTCAAGATAGTTCAGAATTATGTTAATTGACATTCGAAATCAAATTATAATCAAAATATCAAATATAGTTTCATTCAATATATCCATCAAATAAGTCTGAATCATAATATTCAATTATAATGTTCACAAATTTTTCACATCACGGTGCTCCAGATATTCTGACAAATTGACAATATATTAGTTAACGGAATACATCCTGGATGAATTGGGAAAGTTATTGTGAGAGGTAGGTACGTATAATTATAATCTGACATATTTTCAATTCATATAATCTATAACTATTTAGATTCAGGATGTTGAAGTTGGAGATATTAATTGTTTTCATTCATAACCCCCCTGTATAAACTTCCATGGTGCCAAAATTCAGTAATCTCAATGGAAGTCTTGAAAACACGTCTAGTTTAAACTTTGGAGTCGAATCGAATTTTTATTGTTTCCTCAAAAGCTAAGCTGGATTCAAAAATTTCACAAAGGTTAAAACAGTTTTGTTATTTCAATAGTTCAATCTAATAAAAATATGAAACTCGAATTCAATTGCACCAGAAGAACGTTTTATTGAAATTGATTGAAAGACAACTGATGAGTAATGAATAAAGAAACGATTTTTCATGGGAATATTAATACCCTGTATCTCGAAAACGAAACAAGTTAGGACACATGTTTATATATGAACTTTATTTCCTCAAATATCACAAGGAATCACCCCTTGGATTTTTTCAGTGTTATTTAGATACACCCTGTATTGGTTTCAGATCATGCAATAGATTGTTTCAATTGGTATATCAGTTACTTCATGTGTTGCGTAAAGAATTCGCAGACTGTGATCCGAAATAAATCATTCAATATTTTGGCCAACCTGTCAAAATTGATTCATCCAACAAACCCAAAACAAATACAAGATTTAACATCATTTTCGATAGTTATGACGACTACAGCTTATCAAAATGCAGGTTAAAGGCCAAAGTGTAGAAAACAAATTTTCATTGGCGTAACTAGATGATATTTTTTCAACTATACGCTATTTCCTATATGCGCGGCATGAATTAATTTATTTATCATCCGAGGCTGATGTATCTTTTTTTTTGTATATCTACGTATATGGATAATCTGAAGATTGCGACGAATATTTCTGGATGACATTGCTATTAGTGTGTATTGATCGATTAAGGTTCTAACCAAGATGTAAGTATAACATTGACATATTATCATTCATCCAGAATGCCTGCATTTTCATTGAATAATCACAAAACAAAGGTATTTTGACGCATACTCAATCAACTTTCTGAAGTCATTAGCGTTTTTGTGTGTAATTCTAACTCCACCACTGGATTCCTCATTGATTCATCAAATAATATTCATAAGTGAAAAAGTTATAACCACAATGAGTGCATAGATACTCACTCTGACTTGAAATCGTCATTTCTGTGAATATAGTGATGACTAGTTATCGTAAGAAGTTCCACATAAAAATCGAATTATAATGGTATTTTGAGAAGTTTGAGCTTTTGGTAGTTTCTGAATTGGTAGAACCAAATGAATTGAACCTATGTCTCTAAGGAAGAACATGACCATACTATGTGTTCAACTGTTTCATCTTTCATACAACAGAATTGTGGTATGTTTATCTTAGAATTTGTAGGTCATTCCTGATCGAATCTAGGATCTGCTTGGTTATATTTCCCGATGGTTAAGGAAGGAACGCCTTCCAATCTGTGTATCCTGATGATTGAGACCAGATCGTGAGTCTTTTCACCTCTGCTCAATCTGAAATAATATTGTTTTTTCTGTGACGGGAAAAAAGTTTGGCATTTCATCCCTGTTGGCAGGTTATGAAATGTCACTTTTCATAAATTACTTTTTTCCCGTGGGAAAAAAGTGAGTACTTCTTTCCCGGATATATATCACATATATATACACTGTTGATGGCTTTTGTTGTGCTATAGTTCCGAAAAATGAGTCAATAATACCGTCTCCGAGAAAGAACTGCAAGTCCTTTTATCTTCCATTCGACTTCGCGGTTACGTATATTGCTAAATAACCACTGAATTCGCAATTTCTTGAAATAAAATCACAAAATTAGAACTGACAGAAGTGACATCAGATATTTGATTACTTCGAATGAATGATAAAGATGCCTACAACGCGGTGTCCCTACTGTTAAAAACTTAAAATTTCACGTCGATAATTTTCAGATATCAAAATAATGTAATATCTTCTCAATATTGATTCGTCCTTTCTTCTGTCACAGAAAAAAATAGTGTATTATACACGGGAAAAATATTAGATTTTAGCTCACGGTTTGTTGTCTCCCTCCGCTACGCGTCGGGAGACAACACAACCTGGAGCTAAAATCTACTACTTTTTTCCCTTGTATAATAAATAACTATTTTTCTGTGACGGGATAAAAGTTTGGCATTTCATCTCTGTTGGCAGGTTATAAAATGTCACTTGTCATAAATTACGTTTTTCCCGTGGAAAAAAAGTGAGTACTTTTTTCCCGGATATATATCACATATATATATACTGCTGATGGCTTCTGTTGTGCTATAGTTCCGAAAAATGAGTCAATAATACCATCTCCGAGAAAGAACTCGGAAGTTCTTTTATCTTCCATTCGACTTCGCGGTTACGTATATTACACAACCACTAAATTCGCAATTTTATGAAATCAAATCACATAATTAGACTGACAGAAGTGACTTCAGATATTTGATTAGGTACTTCAAAAGAATGATAAAGATGCCTACAACGCAGGTGTCCCCACTGTTAAAAACTTAAAATTCACGTCGATAATTTTTAGATTTCAAAATAATGTAATATCTTCTCAATATTGATTCGTCCTTTCTTCTGTCACAGAAAAAAATAGTGTATTATACACAGGAAAAATATTAGATTTTAGCTCACGGTTTTTCACAACACAACCTGCAGGTAAAATCTACTACTTTTTTCCCTTGTATAATGAATAACTATTTCGCCACACTTGTGGTAATACCAAAGTATTGTTCTGGTCCTATAAAAACACAGATCTCTATCCCCTGGTGTCTGGACCCAAAAGTCAATAGATATGAAGGTTATAAGTTCTATGCGTAGAACATTGCCAACATCTAGAGTCCCTGTATGTATAATTCCCTGTATATATTTGTCAGTTTTGTTGTAATAGGTCGCGTGCACGAAGACCGACCCTGGAGGCAAAATATTGAAACACAACCTCATTCTTCTGTGAATTAATAAAACACAACCCCACTTTTTTATTTGGTTACAGAGGAATCAAAAGGTTGAAATAGTTTTTCACAATATTTTGGCATACGAATCGTGTTTCTTGCGTTATTCATTAATTCAAGCATGGCTTTGCATTGTGCTGTTGTACAATGCACAAAAAATGCAGCAAGAGACTAGGGAATATGAGTTTTCAGGTAAATAGTAATCTCACATAGTTAGCATTATGAAATGTTGTCATTCCTTATTAAAATTCCTTCTGCCTTCTGCCACTCCTGCAATACAAGCTAATGCTGCTGATAGATTGAAAATGTCTACAACACACACGATCGTCAGCATGTCAGACCAGTCCTACCGATTGATTGCATAAATCCAATCTTGTTGCATTATTCTAGAAATTTCAGGTATATTTCTATTAGCTGATCCTATTGCAGAAGGAATTCCGATGAGAAATCAGAGAAATAACCAAATTTCAAAAATGAAAACTATAGTGACTATAGTAGGTACTTACTTTTGAATCATAATGTACCATCCGGATTTCTTCATCTTCCGCTGCAGTTTTTGTGCATTTTACAACAGCACAATGTGATGGCATTAGCTAATTGATGAATAGCGGAAAAATACGATTCATATGCCAAAATAATTGTGGAAAACTATTTCGATCACTTGTAAACATATATGTTTTGCCTCCAGGGTCGGTCATCTGACAGTTCTTGCACGCGACCTATAAGAGTACGGACACTATGACAAGCAGTGACGGAAGGCATAACCCCAAATTCTCAATATGACTTTTGAACAAAGACATGGATATGCTTTTCCATGCACTTCGGATCTTCTATCCTCTACTGCCGCGGTGAAGGGTACATCCATATATCTTTCTCTGTCTTTATTTTCATAAAGAAGTGGCGTCTCATCTCACTGGCGAAAAGGGGTCATAGTTTGTAAATCAATTTGTTGAAAGTATTTCTCGATATACTTAACAAAGGGTATATGTACTTGTTGGTTAGAATGGGGGAAATGGAATAAATGAAAGGACTCGCTTCCATTTTTACAATTCTCCACTACACAATTAGATATTTTAATTTTTAGAAAACCTGAATTTTCAAATAATTTAATGTCATGTACGTTCATGAACTGTCAGTGCCCGCCAAATTATTCATGTCATTTCAATTTTTTTAGGGTTATGCCTTCTGTCACTGCTTGTCATAGTGTCCGTACTCTTATTACAACAAAAGTGTCAAATACATACAGGGACTCTACCAACATCCATAGTTTCAAATGTCACATTCACTTGATCATTCTAGAACACGTGATTTTGACATGGTTTCTTGAGGAGCACACAAACTATCTGTTAGGTTACCTTTGATGAGAATAGCCCTGGCCATCCCTGCCACATTCACAATATAATAACAGTTTCACCAAACAAAATTATGAAATTCTTTCTGGTTTCAACTCGGATTCCAAGGAAAACGATCTCACTAATTCTGGTGTCATCAAACAAATCTTGACAAAATACAATATTTGCACCTCAGCAACCTGTCAAATGACGTGATTCTGAAATGATTAATAATCTCTCAAATAGTCTCAAACGACAAACTTGTCAGTTGTTGACTCTTCAATAATAGCTGATTCATAACTTCTACGACTCAGCGTTTGATGAACCGTAGTCAGTTGAGTATGCTTCAGGGTTATGAGTTGCCTCTGCTGTTCAATACCAGGACTCCAAACACGTTATTGGGAGACTTTCATCGTTTTAGGATACCACCGTCCACCATCCTCATCTTGACAGCATGTTTCGTCGGTCTTCACCAGTCTCCTCTGCCGTGTTCCTGCTGGGAGAATTACGAACCAGTGATGTACCCGCACGGTACCATCTGTGAGAAGAAGTCCCTACCGACGAGGAGTTACAATTGTAATGTCGACCAGCCACCACCTTGCGTGTGCATCCACAAAGAAGGTGCGAAAGTCGTGCAGCTTCCTGTAGGAGAAATGAATTGTGTGGACTATTCGCCTGTATGCCCCAATGTGTTCAAACACGACAAGTGCAAAGAAGATCCCAAATGGGAGGCTTATTTCAAGAAATATCCACAGTTCGAGGACCCAGAGTATGGCTCTACCGATTATTGATATAATATGTATGGTTATTTTTCTGTCGTAGTAATACAGGGTATTTAACAAGCCTATGGAAGATTCCTCTCTACAGAATATGAAAAAGAGTTAATTCAAATATATGCCCGAAAATGGTTTATTTCCGAGAAATAGGATGTCCAAGTTTTGAAAGGATGTCCCAGTTTTGAGAAAAAATTGTTTTATGTCAATATATTGAAATATTTATTTATGTACCAACGACGAAAAACTGTCTATTATAGTAGAGTCTGCCAATGACAATTTTCTTCAACCACCTGATTGATTGGAAGTAGACCCAACTTTTTTTTCAAAGGCACCCTGTATATTACTGTGGCCTATCTTATTTGTCTTGAAATTATCTATTCAACTATGTATCAGTGTATCACAATTTGATATTCGTTCATTTATTGGCTGTTGAATTGCATTTTATTGAAATACGTGAAGTTGGCTGTGGTCAGAATCTGACCTCAATAATAACGTAAGGGTGCTTCCATGAAAAGCGATACAACATTTAATTCTTCAGAACTGAGAATTTTAGAAGTGAGACACATTGTATATATATGTGTGAACTTGCTGATAGAAGAACTTCATAATTTATGAATGTATAGGAATTTAAAAATGTGATTTGATATATTCATGAATTCTATCTTATATTAGTTCGATGAATATATTTATAGCAGTACAGTTTCTAATGATAAGTGAAACGAAACATTCTGAAAAATAAATATTCAAAGAAAATCTAGGTGATTATCGAGATATAAATATATTTACTATACTATCACTAAACAAAATCTGGATGTCTTCGGAAAAACTCGTCCCACTCTCTTCCGTTTTCACAAGGCCATCTCTTCTGTTCATGTCCATTTCTATATCGAGTACACCAAGTTCCTTTAAAAAAAAGAAAATTTATTCGGATAGGCATACTCACTCACTCATTCTGAGTAACCGTGTTACCATCATTGACGCAGAATGAGTGAGAGAGAAATAAACCATAACTCATCGAGGCACGTCACTGGATTCAACGTTAGAATTCTCTCTACACTGAAAAAACTATATTCATTTATCAGATTCAACTTCCGGTATCTCTAAAACTTGGGTTCCTACGTCATTCTTTATCAAGTCATGAAGTTTCTACTGCCTTGTTTCAAAACACCATATAGAGGTAGGTATTTTAATCCAAATATTCATTATCTGTTCTTTTCAAAGAAAAGAATCGAAAAACCATGATTACATTGAATTGATTATATTTATATTTCAGTGGAAATTGAGAAAAGACAATTTTTCCTCAGTTCCTTGGAGTATCTTATAATACGAGTTTTATAAGACATTATTTTGTCACACGCGTTGTTTGGAATACGACGAGCGAAGCGAAGAGTTCTCCAAAAAAAACAGTGCGAAAATATGTCTTATAAAACGTGTGTAAAACAGTTTTGTTTTTGTTAATTCGTTTGTACTCTTATTCGAGAAATTGTATCAATTGATAAGAGATAAGAGATATATATGTAGTCAGAATGGTTGGTAAGAATAATAGAAACATTTGATTGTTTATTCCAAAATTTGACAGAAGTTGTAAAAATCATTCTTAATTTGAATTGCTTCAATGATTTCATATGAAATTGTTGGTCTATTGAAAATCTGAATTGGATGGAAATCTTCAGCAGTTACTGAAGGTTACATATGAGCTTATGTGAAGAGAAAAATTATTGAAGTAGTTCAAATATTTACTTCTCAGCCTTTGACTTCTGCACAGCATATATTCTGATGCCTCTACACGATGCCTCTACCTCGCAGTCTCATTGCACAAACAATAACCTAATCAGACTAATGAGCACAATTTTGTGTCAACAGCAGCCCAACAAAACTAACTAGGAAAATCGATAATAAAAGCTTAAGATACCTGTAATGTTAAAGTTAATATAATGTATAATATGTAAATATAACAATTGCACCATTCCAAGCAACAACAATTATTGATTACATGATAATTATTGATTATTTCATTCATAAAATATAATATGTGAAACATTCATTGAAACATCTTTCTGCAGTTTTATAATATGATTAATATGTTCAATTCGTATTGTCGTTCTTCTTTGAGGTTAGGTTATTGTCTCTTCAGTTCTTTCTCGCGTTGTTGAGCGAAGCTCTTGGATATAAACTTTCTCTAGACTTGCTTCCGCATGGATTATTTGTCTGTCTCTCGACAATAGTGTTTCTGACAGTTTGGCATCTTCATTACCAACATTGAAAGTGAGAATTCAGCGTGTCCTAATAGAAGGTGTCTCGATACGCATTTGGATGTCATAATGAGTTCATCATCACAATGTCATCAATGCTTGTGAGTGACGACAATAATAGTGGCACACTATTTGATTGGTCAGACCTCTAATACGGCATCCACCTGTCTTGTTTTTTTCCATCCAGTTCTTCGCATTCTATTTCACTTCGCCAATGCTTTGTCTCTGTTTTACGCTCTTTGGACATGAATCAGCCAACAATCAGACATGAACTCTATACGTCAGTACTTACCTTTGATATTAACTATTAGAATTTCTCGTAAGTTCCAGGTTAACTAGATGATGAAATGAAAATATCAAATATCCAAACCTAACATCAGGTGGGCTCTGCGAAGGGGCTAATTCATTACTGCATGGGAGATACCCTTCAGATTTCTATATTTTTAGTGACTTTAGTAAACGGCAGCCATTTATTATTTATTGGAGGTCTATTGTCGTCACTCTATTCGATCAACTTACTCTAATCAAAACTACTTGTGAATCCAGGACTGAGTATTCCGTGCAACTTTTCATTGTCAAGATCCGCCATTGATTCAAAACGCCGGTGTCATCTTTCATGCATCCCCAAAATATGCCACCCAGTCCCCTTATTGATATTCCACCCTCGTGGAAGCCTTCATCTGCCCCAGATATTACCTGTCCGATCCTCGAGAATGCTGCTCACTTCTCCAGAACATTGGCACTTCGAACTTTATTGCACTAGACCAGAGGCGGCTCGTCAGGGAAGGCAAGGTACCCTCAAAAAATTAGAAAAAAGGAAAAGAACCGATTGGTTCTTTCATCGAAACATATCCTTATCTCTTTCTCCTTTCTGAAGATACCGATTGGTTGAGTATCTCAAACCTTGTCATGAGAAAAATACTTGCCATTGAGCGATAACTTCAACCAGCCGCAAAAGGTTCAACAACTTTTGTATATACTTTGGAAGTGACAATTATTGTTATATTATCGTAACTTCGAACTGACAATTGGTACTTCCAGTATACAAATTTTCCAGGTGGGAATGGGAAATGCATCTTGCAATGCTCTAATGGATGCGATTGTTGATTAAATTTCCATGCATTTCTTTCGTCGTCACCAAAATCTCATCGTTCCTTACATATTATTAGTAATTGGTTTTGATGTCCTGTTTGAAGGTAATACAAAATGGATACGGATGTTAAACAATTTATAATTTTATTCACCTATTGAATTAATCGAAAATAGATGTTTCCGATATCATTTTAAAAAACAGAGCTGTCAATTTACTCCCACATAGAAGAAAAAAGAGTACTACCTTCCGTGGGAGGTAAAGTATGTTGGCTTCAGCAATCCGAGTAATTAGTGTCTTCATCAGTATTATGAAACAAATAACCTATTTCCTTCTGGAACTCGAATGATCTCATATAATTATATCTTCATATTTCGAACGTACTCAATCGAAACTCTCAAATGCAATTACACAATAAACAAATTCATTATTAACAAATTAATAGAAGTCATCACAACCATACAACTGAATAGATAAGCAGATCGATCTTCTGTCAAGAAAATCGAATCAGATATTGGTAAAAAATACATCTATCACAATGAAATGATACAAAACAATTCACTACCAAATTACTAGAAGCTGATTAAATTTAGAAAATAACTCAAGAAGCCTCTACGTATAATCACTATAGATTTCATCGAGTACCTAACAGTTGAGTCGATTGGGAATAATTTTCTGTTGAACTCAAAAAATAGGAATTCCTCTTGATTGAGAGAGATATATTCACCATGTTACCTGATACTATGAACAAATGTTGTTTCTTGGTAATGATTAATTAATTCATGATGACCGAAGTATTTTTCCACGCATATTGTTTCAGATCGAGAGATCGAGCCTGAAACCCAATTTCAAGAAGGACGTTTTCAAAAATTCGTTCGTGAATAATATGAAATATACCTACGTGAACATTGACTCAGCAAGTTAGAATCCACAATGCAAGTTTTTTTATGTTCATCTTATTTCCTGAGTTTCCACGAAAAATCATGAGGAAGGTTCAGTGTTTTTAGTTGACACTGAAAGTCTCTTTAGGCCAAAGTTCATAAAACTAGAAACATTCATTCTGTAAAAATTTGCTCAGGCGTTGCCTGGTTCACTACAAGATCAGACGATGGCTACTGGAGGCGGACAAGGAAATCACCTGAAATTCCTTTATGCGGAATGGGAAAGTTTTTATATTGGGTTCTTCATTTTGATAATTAGACTACGCCTTGTTTTCTTGGAGATTTGAATACATAATTCCAGCCATTCATTACCTGTTCTATCCTTCAGTATGCTACTGACTCTTCCGGAACACTTGCACTTGGGTGCCTTTGCCATATTACAGGGCATGATGTGAAACTGGTCAACAGCTACGCATTGGGGTCCGCTTCCATGATTCTCCGCCCTGTAACCGTCCCAGCACTTGCAGGATAGTTGCTCGTTGAGGCAAGAGACTGTCAGGAAGGCTGCGAGGAAAAAGAGCTGCCAGATCCTGGAAAAAATACACATTTGATTTTTTTGTACCATTTTATTAGCTTCACCTGTATGTATGTATGTAACCGACTCCTGAAATTTCGGTT